TGAAAGACTTTCGTTTGTTTTAGCGAAGTTTTATCGTAGAGATTATTATGTTTTGTATGCAAGTATTGTTCGCTTGGAATTTTATTAGAGAAACATTTTGCGAAAATATTTATGTTCTGAATAAATTTGACCTTTGTACCAGAATATGTTATATGATCAGCTGGCTCGAGTTTCGACTGTACTCAAAGTTAGATGGGGAATTCGACTAGAATTTCTGTTTGGAACTAAAGTGCATTTGTTATAGCAAGGGATGACTGTATCTATGTCAGAACAGCTATTTGGATGAGGAAAGAAAATCCAATTAGCCAAAATGTAAGACAACATTTCTTTGAATTTGAGTATCGCATCCCCGTGAGAATAAAAGGTTTGGATTTTGTCACTGTGTTTGTTGCACACATTTGCCAGAGCGCTGAGCATGTGCGTCATGTGGCACGGTCTGGGCAATTTAATTGTCACATTAGCGAGCAGGCATCAAATGGGCGACACTGCGCCAGAGTCTGTCCATGTCTATATAGTTAGTCACCTTAAGGGCAACTATTTGCTTGGCTGACAGCCGCTAGATGATTTTACTCGACTGCACTCCACACACGAGACTCGAGGCGACTTGCGGCCACTCTTCTCGGTTCAATGCACCCGGTTGCACTAAAAGCAGCAACAACAACAGCAACAACAACAACAATAAGAAGAACATGAGGCAAGCACTTTAACCGCACTTTGTCGTCATCCGCATCCTTGTCATCAACATCCACATTCACATCAACATCGTCGTCGTCGTCGTCGTCATCGTCATCGTCGTCTGTCAAAGGCAAGATTCTTCAGCTGTTGTTAAAATGCAGCAAAGCCTGCAAAATGTTATTGTTAGCTAGAAGTGTGGAAGTGTTTGAAGTGCGTGGCGGGCAGGGGGAGGAAATGCTACTGAGTGCACTTTTCAACTAGCAAATGCATTTCACCCACACGGAACAGTCGTCAGCTAAATTGATGCACACGTCTCTCTTTCGCTCTCACCTTCGCCCCCCCCCCCCCCCCTCCCCCTTCTGCCCATCGCTACGCCTCACCTTGTCGTCGCATTTGGGCAATTGGAGCTGCAAGTTGCTTACCTTTTGGCTACTCGACTGCAACACCCGCCTAGCAATTTGCACCTTGTTAACAAACTTTTATTTTAATGTTATTTAGCTTATTTGTTTTTCTCATTTGCAATACAAATTTGCGTAACTTGACATTGTCGTTGTTCGTGTGGGCGCCATCGGCATTGTGCAACTCTCGTATTGTTGCAAAGTGCATTTAATTTTGTAATTTGTTCTGTTTCCGAAAACTGACCCGGCACACAAGATGCCGAAAATAGGCTCAATTGCTTTTCCATGCAAAATCAAAATAAAGATGCATTCGTTGATGGCAGCAAATCAAAGACCTCACCAGGCCCAGACTTCAAAAGACGACGGGATTGGGCACGGGGAGCCAAACTCAATTGAGAAAGTAAACAAATAAATCGAATAGGAAAACGCAGCTAACGCAACACTTGAATAATTGAGGGAAAAGCCAAAACGGGCAACTATCGAATAGGCCATCGCAGCGAAATGGAACACATTTTATAAGCGGAGCGCTCTTGTCTAAAGTGCCCGACTAGGTAATATCCTGTAGCCACAATTGGGACAAAATGCTTGATCATATGAGTGCAGCTTCTCTTGCACGATTCTTGCAGGTCCGAAGCTCTAGCGTGAGGTGTGAGGTATCCAAATTGTGAAATATTTTAAACCTCTATGTACTACGCGAGAATATATATAGTCTTGTCTCCAGCTCAAATTGTTTGCGAGATATGCTCAAAAGAACCTTCTTTCAAAATCGATATTTATCGATATTAAAGCTTATTTCCATTGTTGTTTAGTTTCTTATTGTCGAGTTACTTAAAACCAACAAGAAATTGCATGTTTATTACTTGAGTCATTAAAGTTTCCACCCATTCTTGCGAAATTAGAAAACGATCGATTGCAATCGGCCCGATTATTCTATCGATAGCCCAGTCGTGGCTTCTACTTACTCTGCGCTAGCAGAAGCATAACTCACATTCCATTCCTCCAAGTCTGCCGTTAAACAGCTTTGATCTGCAGCGGCAGCAGCAGTCGTCTGTCAAATATATATTCAAGCCCCAATCTGTTGCCCTCGACCGCCGCCCCCCACCCCCCCTTTCGCTCTCCTTCTCCTCTGCGAAACTATCTAAACACAAACAACGCAAATTGTGCAATAATTTTGCTGCTCCATTCGAAATCCAGCGGCAAAGGTGAATGTAAATATTGAAGCAGCTTGCCTCAATCTTTTTACCACCCCCGCTGTCGTTTTAATACCTCTCCCCCCTCCCCATGCCGCCCGTACATTCCGCTACCCCAGTGAATAGCAGCAAGCCGATTAGGCACGTGCACGCGCCGCGCGTTTTGCGAGCGTTTTTAAACGCCACCTTATTTGGTCGTCTCCGTTTTGGCGAACTGAGAATTGTGCGTCACATAGATGGAGCCAAAGCAATGCCTTGTATGTGCCTCTGCCCAGCCAGAAAATGCCAAAATACAAGCTCAGATCGATATAGCTGATGGTTCCCAAATCTGAATCTCGCTCGGATCGATCGCTGTCGCTGCCAAAGCTGACCATTTTAGAAGCCACTCGATATTCAAATTCACACTTGACCAAAAGCCGCAAAAGCACAGTGGAGCAATTCGGTAAAATTTATTGATAGAAATACCAATCGAAATATGGCGGGTATCTAATGTATTTTAGGTTCAATAACAGAATAATTGTCAGCTTATTTAAGTTTAGTTTCTTAACGGAGGACACCACCCTCAATTATTATTACTATAATTCACTTAAGTCAATAAATGTTCTACCTCTCTCTCGATATGACGGCTAGTCTTAAGCACTATTTTGCCTATGAGCTCCATAGTATGTGAAGCTTATATCGTTGTCGCGATTTAATGAACCATTCAAAAAGGGCAATGCGCGTGGGAGTGGCCGGCCAAACGGCGCAACACGGCGACGTTGACCAACCATGAACTCACTCACACACACACACACACACACACATAGTACACACATCTATGCTTGCACAGTTGCCCCGTTAGCCAGAATGCGCCCTGCGACAAGGTTTTTAGACTAACCTTTAAAAGTTCACTAACCAGCTGCTGCTGCTGCTGCCGCTTCTGCTAAGAACTGCTGCACGCCCACGCCTCACCCTCGCAGCCAGCCTCTGGTCACATCTCCAGTTAACAGCTCAGCTGCGTCATCTGGCAACAACAACAACTTTCAAGTCGTGCCTTACGTAAGAGCAAGCCGCTAAACTTTATGACCGATCAGCAGCAACAAGACTGAAGACCTTGCCCAATTAGTCGCAGTGCTGCACAAAAAAAAAAAAAAAAAAAAAAAAAAAAAAAAAAAAAAAAGGAAAACAAAAAGAGAATAAGAAAAAAATTGTAATTAAATGAAAAATACAAAATAAATACACAAAAGCTGTGCAAATGCACCTGCAACCAGCACGGAATGCTGACGGAAGAGTAAGGCTTGGCAACATGTTGCCAAAGCCAGATGCAAATGTTGCTGGCGCTAATTGAATATTGACGCCCGGCTCCAGTTGCTGCAAACTGCACGCATAGCCCGATGCCCGATGCCCGATGCCCAGTGCCTGGTGGATTTCTGCTCGTCTTCTGTCTCCATCTGCTGCATGCAGCTTCGGTGCGTGGCAAGCACGAAGAGAATATTTCACCTTAATGGCCAGAGCCGCAGCAGAGAACGTTGTCCTCAAGTGGCGACACATTTGACAATTTGTGAATGTTGCTGCAGCAGAATGTTGGGGTGGGGCAGGGGTGGTTGGGCGAGGGGCAGGCAACAATTAGAAACCAGTCCGTGTGAAGGCGACGACAGCCCAGCGCCTTATGTCGTTCTTGATGGCATACCCCAACTGAAAACTGGGCATATTGCTTTTGGCGCAGCTTTTGAATTGTATTTCTATTATTTTTCTATGCTTTTTTTGAATTGAATTAAAAACTTGTTTGATAAGTAAAACAAAACTTTATTTCGAATCTTCAAATTTGAGAAACTTATATATACTTATATATATAATTATTTTTATTTAAATATTAGTTAAAATTTATAATTTATATAAAAACATAGAAATTCGTATAAATTTAATATAATTCAAATTTGACATTTTCGAAGTCTTAAGAATTAATATGCAATCATATAAAAATAGTTTTATAAGAATTCGAGGAATACAATTTTGAGTTCTGAAAAAAACTTTAAAAGTATTAATTGTATCAATTGAATCAGAATTATTTATGTATATATATATATATATTATATATGTATATAATATATTTATATTAATATGTAGTGTAAAATATAGTTTTATGCCTTTGCTAGGCTTTTTCTCGCTCATGCCCGTTGAAAGAGATTTTGCCTGGATGGAGGCTTGCGTGATGCGTCTTCAGCTTGTTTTGGCGCTGTCTGTCGTGGCTCCCGAGCTGCAGCTGCAGCTGGAGCTCGAGCTGGAGTTGGACCTGGATCTGGACCTGGTGCTGGGGGCTGGGGCTGGGGCTGGGCTAACTACTTACCGACTTATTTGGTATGCCAGATTTGTCGCTGTTGTTGTTATTGTTGTTGGTGTTGTTGTTGTTAGTGTTTGCCGGAAGCGCAATTGCTTCATTATGGCACGTACTTTGTCAAAGGCGTTTCGACGACGCGACTTTGACGTCGTCCCACCCGTGCTCCTCTCCCCTTTCTGTTTTCGTAGCCAGCCTTGTTGTCATTCCGCTCTTCGATGAGTCGTTGAGTCACGTTGGGATGTCTCATGGCTGTGGATGTCGCTGGCCGACAATTGGGCAGTCTTTTATGAATGAAACTAGAGGCGCGTGTGGGCCGCCAGTTGCCCGTTGCCAATTGCAGACCGACTGCAGCTGCAGCTGGTCTGGTTTGTTTGCTAGCCAAAACTAATCCGTTGTCTCTCTTTTTCTATATTATTGCAGAGGCAAATTTGCGGCTGTTCGCCGGGCGGTACACAAGAATACCGGTTTGCATTTCGCTGCCAAATTCCTGAAGCGACGCCGACGCGCCCAGAGCAGCGACAAGGAGATCAAGCACGAGATTGCCGTCCTAATGCTATGCGAGGGCGAGGACAACATTGTCAATCTGAATGCGGTGCATGAGACGCGTTCCGACACGGCCCTGCTGCTGGAGCTGTAAGTATATAAGCATAACAATCATAATTATATTAATAGTGGGATGCATCAATCAGATCGTTGATTGATTGATTGCAAAACAAGTTAGCAGCAATGAATACCAAACGCACAAATACACTAGACATGGCTGATGGTACCTTATTCCGCAGAACTGTTTGACCGATAACTATCTGACTGATTGACTGACTGAATGAATGACTGATTGACTGAAATATGGACTTACCGCGCACACAAATGCACTAGGCAATGACTAGGTTCAGTTTCTTCAATATACGCATAGGTCATGTTAACAGCTGACTGACTGATTAACTGATCAAGTGATTGACGTACTATTCAAACAAGCACAAATGCGCTGCGCATTAATTGGGTCCATAGTTGATGTTACTCCTTACCGCAACGCTGCTTAGGATGATTGACCGATTGATCGTCTGAATGATTGACTGACTGACTAACAATGATTAGGTTCAGTTTCTTCAACATAACATCGCTATTTCCGTAAAACTGTTTATGCTGACTGACTGAGTGATTGACTGACTCACAATTGATTTCTTAAATCCACACATACGATGGAAAACGGGTGATAAATTGAAAAGAAAATATGCTCATTCCGTTCCTCTTCCCTATATAGGGCCACTGGCGGCGAGCTGCAAACGATACTGGACAACGAGGAGTGCCTCAGCGAGGCGCAGGCGCGCCACTGCATGCGGGAAGTGCTGAAGGCTCTCAAGTTCTTGCATGACCGTTCCATAGCGCATTTGGATCTGAAGCCGCAGAACATCTTGTTAGCCGGCGAACGCATTGAGGGTGAGTGTTCACAGTTGAGTGGCCAACTAATTGAGGACTTCGCTGACAAGCCGCTGCGCTTTTCCCATTTTGTTTTCAGATGGCCTCAAGCTGTGCGACTTTGGAATCTCGCGCGTCGTCTGCGAGGGCATCAATGTGCGCGAAATGGCCGGCACTCCGGATTATGTGGCACCGGAGGTTCTCCAATATGAGCCCTTGTCGCTGCTCACGGACATTTGGTCGGTGGGCGTGTTGGCCTATGTGCTGCTATCGGGCTTCTCGCCCTTTGGCGGCGACACCAAGCAGGAGACCTTCCTCAATATCTCACAGTGCGCTCTGACCTTTCCCGACAATCTCTTTGGCGGCGTCTCCCAGGCGGCAATTGATTTCATACGCCGCGCATTGCGAATTAAGCCAAAGTGAGTGCAGTTCAATCTTAAATTCTGTGCAGAATCTATAACTAATTTTATTTCTCTCTCTCTCGCTCTCTAGCGATCGCATGAATGCCGCCGGCTGCCTTGAGCATGTCTGGCTGAAGGATGAGTGCTCTTTACACAGACAAATCTATTTGCAAGCACAGAACGATGCCGACTTTGTGCAGGATGATGAGGATGAAGACGATGAGGACGACGATGAGGAGGAAGATGATGAGGAAGAGGCACAGAACGTTTCACAGCAACAGCAGCAACAACAGCAACAACAACAAAACAGCACAACAGCAGCAGCAACCACAACAGCAGCAGCAACAGCAACAACAGCCAGCAAAGCCACTCACAACGGGCATAGAGCACACTCCAGCTCGAGAATTCCAATTGCCACTAGCCACAAGCTGAGCCCCAGCACAGAGACAACAACAGCCATACACACACTGCCCCAAGCACTGACCATGTCGCTGGCGACAAGCACGACTGCTACTGCTAGTGCATCGACGAAGCCCACACAGATTGTGACACCAACGCGACGCGCCTCCGATTCGGATAAGGAGAACACATATACGGCAACATTTGTTAAGAAGCCGGTGGCCAGCACGGCCACCATACAGATTGGCAGCAATGGGCTGGAGGAGACGACAGTGATTGCGACATTGGCGCTGTTCCCGGATGCGCCCACCACGCCCAAAGTCATACGCAAGACGCCCGCTACGGAGGCCAGTTCGGCCACATCGGTCAAGGCGCTGGTTAAAAAATTTCAACTGGAGGAGATCGAAGCACAGCACAGCTCACCCAACAGCACATTGCCGCACTGCTCCAGCTCCGCCAACAGCAGCCATGCGTCAGCGATCCAGACGCAACTACAGCTCCAGCAGCCGCGCAAGTGCTCCATGCCCAGCGTGTGTGTATTGCCAGCAACCAGCAGCAGCAGCAGCAGCACCAACGGCAGCAACATGCGGCGCAGCATCAGCGGCACTGCCAGCAGTAGCAACAGCCACAGCCACAGCAGCAGCCACGGCGGACGACGTGCCTCAGAGCCGCTAACCGCTGTCCACAAGAAACAGCACATCAATAACAACAGCCCAAACTCCATTTCCAGCAGCAGCAGCAGCAGCAGCAGCTCGGGATCCACTGCAGCAACTGGAAGCGGCAGCACAGCGCTGCTCTTGAATGGTAGATTGCCGCAGGCAGCGCATCATTTGCATCATCATCATATGCACCACCATCATCATCACCATCATCATCATGTGGTGATTGCCGCCAAGAATGCGGCTGCTGCTGCCACCAACAACCTAAGCTTGGACCAGGGCATCATCTGTTAGCTAAGGGCCAGCCGTGCGCGCCGCAATGCCAAAAGTTTCTTTCACCGCTTCCTTTGCTGCATGTAACAGTGCCTGAACGTGTAGGCGTGGTCGGCCAGCCCCTAGCTGGGCTGTTGCTGCTGTTGTGGCTGCTCTTGCTGCTGCTGCTGCTGCTGCCCTTGCTGCTGCAGGTGTGGCAGCTGCAGGTGTGAGCAACGCAACGCCGATGCCTGCGCGTGCTCGGAAGCTTTGTTTGATTTTGAGTTTCTTAGTTAATGTTATATAGCGCCTAGTTGATCTAAAAAAAAAAAAACAACCACTGTACCACACTATTGTACCACTGTACCACTAACCCAGCCGATTTCCCAAGTAACCTAAATACTGTTTAAGTTTATCTGGAAATATATCTATATATACATAGGTATATGCATATGTAGATGGATATATCGTCTATTTCGTAAGAGTTGCCGTTGTCAGCAGGCAGCACACGGTTAACGCGTAAATTAATGATTCATGATCCCGCGACAGACAGAGATGTTAAAGGAAAGAGATAGTTAGAGAGAGAGAGAGAGATAGAGTGAGTGTGTGTGCGCGTGAGTGAGAGTGAGTGAGAGAGATCGAGATGGAGAACATAGTCGAGAGTGCGCAAAAGGTTGCAACTCGCAGTTTATTGAAAGATCTGTTTAAATTACAAAAGGTAAATAATTTGAGACATATCAGTCGTTGTGTTGTGCGTGTATGTGTGTTTGTGTGTGTGTAATAGTTTGTTAAGTTCGATGGGCAACGTTTCACATGTTTCAACGAATTCAAATACGTCAATTCAGGACAAATTTAACGTCGTCTGCATAGCATAAATTAAATAATACAAATTATACAAATAAAAACATTACATACCAAAAAAAAAAAAACAAACGAAAAAGAAAAAAAAATGATCAGCGCGCAGAAAATTCAGCAATATTTGTTGATCATTTTCTATATGGATTGTGAATTTGTAGCTGAATGATTTAAATCGTATTTATATACATACATACATATATATATACATATGTATATAATGTTGAGCGCCATTTGGTAATTGTTTGTTACATGATTCACATACAGCAAATGCATTCATAGCATAGTTCATGCATTAATTAATTAATTATAACCAAAATACGATGGGTATATGAAGGTAGTCGCAGTTGTTCGCGAAACGGTAGTGGATAGATGAAAATTGATTGTTCAAGAGTTAATGCATATATAATATATACATATACATACATTTACATACTATACATATACATTTATATAGAGAATGTTATCAGCACCGAGCTAAGAAATGGCAGAAATGACAAAAAGAAATTGTTTATTATGTGCGTGTTCGTGTTCGCCTGGCATGCCACGTACCATACTTAAATATGATAACTTGACTAGTTTATGGTATCAGAAATGATATATTTTCAGTTTTGGCCCCGCCCCCCTCTATCGCACCCGAATACTTATGTTGAATTATTTATGCACCTCTCCTCACTCGCTCCACACCTCCAACTCCTCTCTTTCGGAATATACTTATCTTGTTTTTAGTTGCAAACTTCTGAACCCAAATCGGTTTTTGTACATAAAATATCTGTTTCAACGCCCAGACCCTAGGCACTAGCCTGGCGTGATTACAATTTTTTTTATTATTATAATTCTTTTTGCATTCAAGAGATATATGCATAGAGTTGAGCAACAGTTAAGTATGCATTATGAATTAGGCAAAGTGTTTGTGTGTGTGTGGTCAGTTAATTGTTAAATTGAATAATTAATTTATCATAATTACGGTTAATTGAGCGCCCTTTTTTATTTTAATTACCATTAAACACTTGCGTAAAAGTAATTTTCTTATTTAAATAACCTTAAACCACATTACTTTTTTTTTTTTTTCTTCGTTTACTGTATATTAATAGTTAAATGCAAGAGCGCAGCAACAATTATAAGAAAGAAAAGATGTTCGTGAATTGTGCGTTTTATTTGATAGTAATTTTTTTTTAATTCACTTTTTGTGTTTTTAGAGAAAACGTCGATGATGAAAGGAAACAAAGATGAAAATTCTATATTATATTATATATAGTAATTATTTTATAGATAACTAATTTAAAGTATATTCAATAAAATTAAAAAAAAAATACATGTATATGCTCAAATATTTATATGAAATCGGAAATTGAATTGGATACGTTTACGATTATATGTTATTTATATGTATGTGTTATCAGCATCGGATCGACGACTACTCCAGCAAATCTAATGGTATCTGATAGCTTTCATAGACGCCTGCAAATTTGATTACCCAGCCGATGCCGTCATAGTTGACCGTCTTGTGGAAACGCACATACAGCTGGCTACGTTTGCTGAGGTAGACGCGGGGCTTATCCTCGCCGCAGAATCGTCGCATTTCCTGAAGGCTGCCATGTTCGTTCACCTCCTGAATCAGCAGATAGTCCGTGTGGCAGGTGGCCTTCGAACCAAGATCGAAAGCTGCAAGTATACATAAATAAAAATGTATATATATATATACATATATGGTCCAGCATTGGGAAGCTATGGACTAGCATATTTACATGCAAAATTGAGCAGGACACGCGTGTTGCTTGGCACACGGACACTCCAGCTGCAGATGGAATTATTGCGCACATTCTGCGGATAGAACGGATTGGAGAATACGCCCTCGGTGTTGTACAGGGCACCACCGCAGCCGGGTCCGTCCTGGACGGGCGACGCAATGTACGTCACATCGAAGCTATTGAAGAAGCTGCCCGTCTTAAAGTGCAGCCGCAGCTCGTTGGTCGTGGTAAAGAGGCTCTTGCCCGGATCCAGGTAAGCGCACGCACGCTGCAGCGACTTGTTGGTGCTCTTGTCGAAGACTTCAACGTACTCCACATCACAATCGGCTGTGCCAAAGATCACCTCGGCAAAGTAAAGACTAAGTGTGTAGTTAGCTGGAGCCATTATTTGTGCATCGCAATCGGTGCTCTCCGAAATCTTAATGCGTCCCTGTAAACCACCATAGCTATACTGACAGCTCGCATCTGGCACTATGAGAATTCTGAAGCCGGGCCTCGTTACGGCTCCATTGGTGCGGAACTTGATGTACACCTGCTTCGAGTTGGGATAGTAGTCATCGGGCAAGCCGCTGCCACAATACACATGCTCCGTGGCATAGTTGAGGAAGTACTGGACATTCTTCTGTCCATTAAAGATCACCTCATTGCCGTAGCCTTCTTCCACCAGCTGTGCATCCTGTTTGCAAAATGGGCAATAAATATATCCCAGGTAAGTGTTAGTATGTAAATACCTAAGTTTTGATAGTATGCACTTATAATATAATATCATATATATCTTGTACTTTTAACATAGATAGATTTTAATATAAATAGTTCCAAATGATGAAGCGCGAAAAGGTTCGTTATGGAGAATCTTTGTAATAGAGATATGACAAGAAAAAAAATCAGCTTTCCAAGTCCTTGTTCGTAGGAATCTTAAATGAATATCTGCTCGTTCTCCGGCAATTCTCGAAAGAAAAAATCAAAAACTTTCTGGTTGTGTAATATTTGTTCTCAGCGTTCAATAATTGCTTTAAAGAAGCGACCTAAAAATGCTTGGAGTGGTTTTAATATCAGTCGAATAATCCAAACATTCATACGGACAGATCGACATTCCTCAAGATCCGGAATATTTCTTTCAATTGTGGACAATATTTGGGAAAGCTTGCAGTTGGTTTTCTTTTGGTTCTAACGGCATTTGGAAAGCTGGGCTAAGTTCTTACCTCGCTGTTGTAGATTTTTATAAAGTCCGAAACGCAGGCACCCGTCGCATTGGCCGACTCCAGGTCGAGGCTAATAAATTTGAGATGCAGCGATATTTCGCTCTCGATCTTCCACAGGCAGAGGATGTTGTTGTCGTAGTTGCCCTGATCGTTGACCGGCGAATGAATTTCCAGGGGCTGTTTGCCATCCAGCTTGATCAAGGGATTGCCGCACAGCAGGGGCCTGGCCGTGACGACCAGCTCGAAGCCCGTGTCGGTAACCTTGTTGTCGGTAACGAAGCGCATGAAGAGAACGTGGCGCGAGGCGCTCAGCTTGGGCGGCAAATCCTGGCCACAGAATCGGCCAATCTCGTCAGCAAACGGTCCGGCGCCGTCGCGTAACTCCAAATAGTCGGCGGTGCAGCTGTTTGTCGCCTCCACGTGAAAGCTGCGGAACTCGACGCTTATCTGAGAACCAGAGCTTGCCTGGAACACAAAGCTACAGTCCAAATTATTAGCATAGGAGCCGACAAACTTGTTGAACGTATAGCTAGCATTATTTTCGCCCAGAAAGATGTGCTCATCACAGTTGGGCATGAGCCGCACCAGCGCCCGGAAGCCGCGCGACGGATCCCGCTCATCGGAATAGCTATGGATCAGCGCCCGATTGCTGGATATATGGAGCGTGGGCAGATTATCGGACAGACGGCCACAGAAGCGGGCCATGCGCTGTCTCTCATCCGGCACGGGGCTGGCAAAGACCTCAACGCCATCGTAGCTGCACAGCTGATTGCCGGCCTCAAAGTCCAGCAGCTCGAACTTGATGGTGAACTTTTGACCCTCGGGCGCCGTCAGATTCCAGTAGCAGTCGCTGTTGTGCGGCATTTGATTGTCCTGATGCTGGCGCGGCGACTCGACCATCTGCGTGGCGCTAACGACACCGCCGCAGAGCCTAGTGCTGTACACCAGCTGGAAGCCACGTCCGCTGAACGACAAGTCCGAGCGCAGCACCAGGCTGATGGAGCGCTGGGCGCGATAGGCGTGCTGCTGCTTGACGCCGCACAGCAGCGACTCCTGGTTCTGGCCGCTATTGTCCCTGGTCGTCACCGTCACGTTATCAAACAGACACATGTTCAACGGCGAGCGCTCCAGATCGAAATCTAGAAAGCTCACCAACACGCCCGGCGCATTCGCCTCTAGCGGCTGGAACGTGTAGTTGCAATAGAGATTCTTGGTATAGCCCTTGGGATAGCCGGGACTGCTGAGCACCTGTGGCTCAGCGGTGGCTACCAGGAGGCCGCCGCAGTTGCGCTCGAAGCGGGCTGTGAAGCCATCGCCCGTTGTGTCACCGTCAGACCGGAAGATCAGTCGCATCGACGAGCTGGTCGAGTTGATAAAGTCCGGCGTATTGCGGCCGCACAGCGTCTGCAGATCTGTCCAGTTGCCAGCGTCAGCGTCCGCGTCTCCGCCCACATTGTCGCCGCGCTGCTGGACGCGCAGATAGTCCTTGGCGCAGCCATTGCTGTCCTCAATATAGAAGCGTCCCAGAAACGATAGCCCAATATGAAAGCCTGGCTCGGTCTCAATCTCCCAGATGCACTCGACATTGTTTTTGTACTGTTCACTAAAGTCAATGTAGCGATAGGGATAGGTGAGGCGGCCCCCACAGCCGCTGCCATATTTGACGGTCACATTGAAGGTGGAGTTGTGATTGGCATTGGCTGGCGACTCCACATGGTATTCGAGGAACAGGCCGCGCTCCACAACCAGATTGACGGACGTCGCCTGCTGGCAATAGCGACCCATCAGCGGCGAGTTTTGATCGGGCCCGCTGTACAGCAAAAGATAATGGAGCTCACAATCGCCGTCGAGATTGAGGCTTACTGCCACCTCCAGCTGAACATCCTGGGGCGAGAGTGGCTCCTCGGCCGTTTGATCGGGCCCAACGGCCCAGGCACAGTTGATCGTCTCCTCGCCAGACAGATGGCTGGGCTGCGAGACGGTAAGATTATCGCCGGGCTCCAAAGGCAGGACGCCACCGCAGCGCTGCAGGCTGTAGGCCAGCTCCAGCAGATTCATGTTATTGCGGCGACTGCCCGTTACGGTCATATCGACGGGGAACGGCAGACGCACGCTGCGATTCGCCTGGTTGGCAGCGCGATCGCCGCAGAGAAACAGCGGCAGCAGCGGCTCACCCTCGTCCGGGCGGACCAGCTTGAGGGGCGTCATCACGCGGCACATGTGCTGGTTGCTCATGAAGATGGAGCTGCTGTTGTAGCGTCGCACCTGCAGCAGCAGCGTGCTGTTCGATGGCGGACGCAGCTCGTAGCTGCAGTGCACCAGGCTGCTCTCGTTGCTGCGGCTGAAGAACATTGTGGAGCTGACATCGAGATCGAGGCGTCCGTGGCACTCGCTGCGGCCAAAGGCGATGAAGCGCAGTTTGATGCCGCGATGCTGGCTGAAGGGCAGCAAGAAGGCATCAATGCCCATTGTGTTGTCCGTGGAGACGACCTCGGCGGGCGGATCGTGCATATAGCGACCAATCACAGACTGCATCTTGTGATCGTTGGAGAACGAGATGCGACCATGGAAGCTGGTGTGCGTGCTATTGGAGCCGCCTCCCCCGTTATCAAAGTCCAGTATCTGGACCTTGACGCGCCTGCCCTTTGGCACCTGCAGGCGCCAGATGCAGTGCGTCGGCACGCGCACACCCGCCGGATAGTTAGGCGTCTGCAGCACACCCTGGCTGGCAATTATGGTTTCGCCGCAGCGTGATCCGATCGCGCTGTAGCGCAGCTGGAAGCTCTCAGAGTTGCCCAACTGGCCGCTGGGCATACGCAGCCGGATGACTATCTTGTTGGTCTCGACGAGAAAGTGTCGATAGGAGTTGCCGCATATCTGCAGGCGATCGCTGATCCGCTCCTGGTTCTCTTCGCCGAATGGCTCCATCTCCTCCAGCTGGAGATGCGTGCGCTGCGTGCAGTTGCCATTCTGCGGCAATGGCAGCTGCATCGACTCGAACTTCAGCTCAATGGTGCTGCCCCGCTCCACCTCGATGGTGAACACGCACTCCTTGTACTTGTTCGGCTGCAAATGCAGCTGCAGCTGTTCCACGGTGGGTGAGTGAATGACCCCGGTGGCGCTGTAATAGCTGCCGCCACAGTTGGCCAGCTGGATGAGCGCCGTGAAGCCCGGATGTGGCTCCAGCACGCTTGTATAGAATTTCATGCGCAGCTCACTGCCCGAGGAGTAGACAATGTCGGGCTTTCGGTTGCCACAGAAGCGACCCAGCTGGGGCATCAGCTCGGTGCTGCCATCGTTCAGCTGCACAAACTCCCGATCGCAGCCGTCCTCTTCCTGCTCGCTCTCATCGCTGCCGCTGCCACTGCTCGGCGTCAGATCAAAGTCGAGGAACTGCACCGAGATGCGATGATGTGGCGGCGCACTGATGCGCCACACGCACTCCGAGTGCGGATTGGGCAGATTGGGAAAATTGGGTGAGCTGATCACGCGCTGACTGAAATTACTGCTGTTGCCCTCCTCGAGCACAATGTGGCCGGAGCAGGCATGGCCCAGCTCCTCGTAGTGGAAGGCGGCGCGAAAGCGCGGAAACGAGCTCTTCTCGAACTTGATGTAGGCCCGATTTGAGCTAGTTTCCAGCACATCCGTTATATTGTTCTCGCAGTACTTGCCACGGCCAAGGAATGGCGAATCCTCCGCATGTCCGTTACGCACAACAAAGAAATTGCGGCACTGGGACCCGTCCGTGACCTGGCCGCCGGAGCTGAGCTCCGATTCCGGGAATGTAATGCGTATGCGCTTGCCCTGGCGCACGCGTATCGTCCAGATGCAGTCCAGCCGCGAGATAAAGCTGTGCGAGACCAGCTCCGTTATGTTGACCAGAGCACGCGGAGCGGTCAGCTCGGAGCCGCACTCGGTGCGCACGAAGCTGGCAAATCCCGTCTTATTCACGCTGGCATCGGTCAGAAACTGCACCCGCAGGTAGGGCGTGCCATGATAAAACCTGGTATTATTGGGCTGCGTACAGATCTTCGCCAGCTTCGTCCAGTGCTGCATATCGCTGCTGCTGGACACCACCAAATAGTCGGCATAGCAGCCATCGCCGAATTCCTCAATGTCCACGGCAGTTAGCCGCAGTGTAGCATGCGCTGCCGGATTGACCGGCACCAGTATCCAGCTGCAGTTCAAATTGGTCGCATAGCCGAGCGGATAGCCGGGCGAATTAAAGCTGATTAAGCTGCGATTCAGTGAGACCAGCTGCTGGCCACATTGGCGCGTCTGCAGCTCGGCGGTGCGATTGGAGGCCAACGCCTCCTTGGACAGGCGCTCCCAGTTGAGCTGGAAGGGACCACGCGTTGCGGTCATATACAGCACATTAGTATTGGACACCAGCGGCTTGTACGGCTGCACCACCAGCTGGGCGCCGATGTCGGTGTAGCCATCGTAGAAGCGCACATGCTGCTGATCCACGTCGCGCAGATGATCCACATTCACCAGCACCACATAGTCCGTATCAACGGTGATGCGCCAGCTGTACAGCTGGCTGCTCGTGAACTTGCTGGGATAATGGGGCGATTCCACGGTGCCCTGCGTGCCATTCAACTCGTTGTGGTGCTCTGCAGTATCAGAGCAGGTTAGACAGTTAGAGAGCTAGGATTAGAGCTAGCAGGGTTAGCTACTCACCATAGTTATAGCTGGCCATAAAGCCCTCGCCGACCACATCGTCATTGCTCTTGAACTTGATCCAGATGCTGCCCTTGGAGCTGATGGCCGCCGGCAGCTGATTGCCACAGTAGACGCCGAGCAGGGTGCCGCGTGCGGACTCTTCGCGCAGTTCCAGATAGTCATTGTTGCAGCCATCGGACTGCTCCAGGTCAAGGGATTCAATGGTGAGCGACAGCGAGTTGCCGGCGCTTGCCTGCAGCACCCATTCGCACTCGATGTTCACCGGATAGCTATCCGGATAGTAGGGCGAGGTGAAGCGGCCCGATAGAGCGTTATATCCGCTGCCGCACAGCGTATCCATGGTCATGTAGTGGCCCTCAAACTCGGCGATCAGCGCAAGCGGCACACTGATCGTCAGCGCCTGGCCGCGCGAGATCACCGCCGGCGGATGGGAGCGACAGAACTGTTGACGCGGCGTGCCGCTCGCCGTGACGCCCTCATAGATCTTGACGCCGTGCGTCATGCAGTCGCTCTCCCGCGGATAGCTGTTCGAGAGCTCGTCGCGTAGCTGTATGTGCGTCGGCGTAAAGATGATGTGCTTGCTGGGATCGCTGGCCTGCAGCACCCATACACAGGTCTCGTTGCGTGCCGCCTGGTGCACCAGGTTCAGGTACTGGAAGTCTGTCTCATCAATGAACAGGGTTTGGCCGCAGGACTCGTGATAGTGCAGCTGAAAGCCGCGGCTCTCCACCGAATCGTCCGTAACGAAGCGCACAATGGCGCGATTTGTGGCGGATTCGGTGCGCTCGTTGGAAGCACTCTGAAAGCTCCTGGTGCACACCTTGAATATCTGGCGACCCTCGCTGTCGTCCAGGGTATCGCTGTCCGCGTCACTGTCGCTGACTCCATCGCTGCCGCTCATATCGTAAGCTGCCACATAGTCCCATCCGCAGCCATAGCCGTCCTCAATGTCCAGATCCTGGAAGTCAAAGACGATCGTGTGGTGCGGAGACACTTCCACCAGCCACTCGCATTCGCTGTTCCGAGGATAATGTTTCGGATAGCCGGGTGATTGAATGACGCCGTTTCTAGACGTCAGCTTGCCACCACAAGCTGCAAAAGGAGCCAGAATATTGATAGCTTGAATGAATCCCACCCGGCAACAAAATCTCAGTCAACCTATCAGTCAGTCGGTCCGATCAATCAGCTAATGAACATTTATTCGAGCTGATCGGGTCCCGAAATTTATACTGCTGGATTTGAACTGGCAACCTTCCCGCCTACCAATTCGACGTGCAGACAACTGAACAAGGCAGGTTAATGACTCGTACTGTACGAATTTCAGCTTTGGCTGTGCCTTGATCGGTAGTCAATCAGTCAGAGTAGGATTTTCAACTTACAGCTCTTAATCATGCGATATGTGGCCTCGAAGCCACGTCCATTGTGCGAGCTGTCGGATATGAAACGCACGTGCAGTTTGTGGCCGGCGCTAGTGTAGATCAGCTTGGGATTATGGCCGCAGTGCCGTTCATGGACATCGACCTCACGGAAGCTATTCGAAATCTGTGGAGGAGGGGCAAGGCAAGCTGGTTAGTCGCTGTGGGCAAATATGAGACGATGTGCGAGTGCTGACCACAAGGGCGTCCTTGGTGCAATTGACGCTCTCCTCAATGTCAATGTCCAGGACGGTCAGCTCGATGACCTGGCCGAGCGGTGCGTGCATTAGCCAATAGCACTCGACGTCGTTGGGATACATGAGCGGATGCTTCAGAGAGCGGAAGGAGCCGGTTTCGGAGCGCAGCTCCTGGAAGCAGCCGTCGACGCGATACTCCAGCCGAAAGTTGATGCTACTCGTGTTGTGAACAATGGTCAGAATGTCGCCGCTGGCATTGTGCATGCCCAGGCCGAGGATGGGCACCACGCTGCCACCATCGATCAGGTAGAGGCCACCGTCGGCGTCTGTGGGCAGGCGATTGGCGCGGTGATCAAAATGCGAGATCTCCAGCCGGATCTGATTGCCGCGCGGCGGCCGCAGCTGCCAGCTGCAATTGATGGCGCCCTCAAAGTTGGCTGCACCATAGTTGAGGCTCTCGATGATGCCCTGGTTGCTGTTCAGTGTGCGCTGGCAGTCGGCGCTGTACGACAACCGAAAGCCACGCTCGGCATTGTTAATGTCGGACTGGAAGACGACAACCGCCTCGTTGCTGTCGATGTGCAGCACGCGACCCTTCTCATCCGGCATGCCGCACAGCTCTTGGAATGCGCCATCAGACAGACGACTGCTGCTGGGTCCATTGTAGATGCGCAGATAGTCGTAGTTGCAGTCGTTAAGCTCTTCCACTTCTAGATCCTCGATGACAATTCGCAAACCGGAGCCGGGATGCACGCGCAGCTGCCACTCGCAGTGGGCATTGTTCGGATACGAATTGGGATAGTTGGGCGAAGTGATGACCCCAGCGTTCCCAGTAAGCCGGCCGCCGCAGCCGTTGGCAAAGTTGCGCCACGACAGACGAAAGCCGCGCGCGACACCGACGTCGTCCGTGTGGAAGTGCAGATAGATTTCGTGCGTAAAGCTGGGTATCCGACGGGGTATGCTTGTGCCGCAGAAGCGTCCGATTAGGCTGGACTGATTGTTGCCACCGTTGCGCACTTCCAGCCAATCGCCGCTGCAATTGCGCGTGGCGGCCAGCTCGAAGAGCTCCACTTGCAGCTCTATCTGGTTGCCCGGTGACGAGCTGATCATCCAGATGCAGTCCAGCCCGTTGCTATAGTTAAGCGGATACTCTGGTGAGTTGAGCATGCCGGACGAGGCATATATGCGACCGCCGCACATGTTCCGCTCCACGAACCGATACGACAGCTCAAAGCCATTGGCCGTTTCACTGAAGTCCGACACGAACTTGATGGTCAGGAGGCGTGCATGACTCACCAGATCCTCTGGCACTTGATTGCCGCAGAAGCGTGCCAGCGGCGATGCTGAATCGCTCTCTTCCTGACCAATCAGACCGTCATAGACCTCAACGTAATCGTAGCTGCAGTCACCGCGGCCCTCCACATCAAAGCTCAGCCAGTCCAAGAGTATGGCCTTGTTGGGCGGCGCCATAATGATCCAGTAGCAGGTCATTTCGTTGTGGTATACGCCCTGCGCGTCTACCGGCAACCGTATGTTCTGGCCCTCCTTGGTGTGGACACCACCGCACTGGCTGCCTGCCACTGGCACGGCGCGATACTCGAACCTAAAGCCACGACCCCTGTTGGGCGGCGAGGTGTTCAGATGCAGGACCAGCATGTTCGTCTGGCTGACATACTCTTCGGCGGGCAGCCTGCTCCCACAGAAGGGTCCCAGTATGGCCCGATTGAGCCCGTCGTTGATTCTGACACTTGTGCCAGCCGCGCAGTTCTCGGGTCCACTGGCAATCAAACCCATCTCCTCCATCTCCTCCTCATCCATCATGTTGTCCGATAGCTGAAAGTCCAAGCGCTTGAGCGTAATGACAGTATTGGGTGCCGTGAGTATCTTGTACGTGCAGTGCAGCTCGCTGTCCGCCGTCAGATTGGGATAGCCCGGCGAGCTAATGATGCCACTGGGCGCATCGAAGGTCTGCGAGCAGTCCATGTGGTAGTTCAGCTCGAAGCGATCGACGGCGGCGGCTCTGGGCGAGCTGCTGGTGTAGATGATGCGCATCCGATTGTAGAGCGAGTGGATGCTCGGCGGCAAGGATTCGCCAGGTCCGCCGCAGTGCTTGCTCTGGAGCACATACGAAACGGCCTGTGCATTGGGCGCATCCAGCACGTCATATAGCTCGATGCAGGCATCCAGCGCCAGCTCGAACTTCCTGAAGTCCAGGCTAATGGACTCGCCCATAGCTAGCCGGATCTCGTACTCACACGAAATTGCATCGGAGCCAATGTCGTAGGTGGGCGAACGTATTGAGCCCTCCTTGCTGGTGTAGACGCCACCGCAGCCCGGCAGGCGCTCCTCGACGGAATAATGCAGCTGGAAGCCCAAATCGCTGCCCGTCTCATCCGAGTGGAACCTAACGAGGGCCTCGTGTGTGGGCAGCAACAACGGTGCTGGCTGCTCCCGGCTGCAGTACTTATACAGCTCCCGGCCAGAGATGGCATCACTGATCTGCAAGCCAGTCAAGCAGCCAATCAATCTCAATCAAGCCAGTCAATCGGCCAATCAATCAAACCCATACTCACCGAAACAAAGTCAAAGTTGCAGCTTTCGTGCTGTTCCAGCTGCAGGGTGAAGAATGTGAGCTTGATCCGCTTGTTGCTGGGCGCGACCAAACGCCACTGGCAGTCGCGATTGCGCGGATAATTGCCCGGCGAGCCCGGCGAGGCCAGTGTGCCGTGCGTTTCGAACTCGACAAGGCCGCCGCACTGCGGCGCCATCGATTGCCAGGAAAGATCGAAGCCCGCGTGCGCCGTCGAGGCGTCCGAGCGGAACCACAGGTACAGCTGATTGCTGGAGGAGATGATAGTGCCGCCATGCGGTATGTGATTGCCGCAGTAGCGTCCAATGATCTGGGCCGCCGCGGAGCGGCCGTCGTTGATCTGCAGCCAATCGAAGCGGCAGTCCGTCGAGTCCTCCACATGGAAGCTGTGGAATGTCACATTCAGCACCAGCGATTCGTTTGTCCGTATCACCCAAGCGCATTGCGCATTGTGCTCGTAGCTGTTGCCCGCCGGCGGATACCGGAGCCGTCCGCTCAGCCCGGTCAGCATCGCGTTGCAGCTGCTGAAGCGTACATTGCACAGCCGACCCCGATAGCCCGGCTGGCACTGGCAAACGAAGCCGCCGCCGCCGCCGGTTCCATCTGTCGGCGTCGGACTGCAACGACCATCGTTCTGGCAAGGCTGCGATGTGCACGGATTGGGCAGCGGGTCGCAGCGTGGCCCATGGAAGCCGCGCTGGCAAATGCACGTATAGTTCGTGGGACCAGCATCCATGCAGACGCCTCCATTCTGTTAAAAATGAGGCCAACAAAGATGAGAAAATTGCAGTCGGCATAGCCCAACTGCTCAATACCCTGTATACCACAAGCTGATGGAAAAGGTGTCTTCCTGTAGCCCTCACACATTGATTTGGGGACAGACCAAGATTCAAAGATTCCAACATTCTGCCTGTAATTAATCCCAAAAGCAAAGTTTGACTATGTAAGCCAAGATCGGATCAGGAAAAATGGACGACCCGTGGCTTGTTTGAGCTGGAGTTCCGAAAAGCCGACCAAAGCTGGGATCGACTGTTGACGAGACTTAGCCAAATGGAATTGGCGTCCATTTCGAGGAGCATCATAGTTACTGAAGATCTTACACAAATGGGCCAGACCCTTCCCCACAAAGGGGAATGTTATGTCCAACCATTATAATTATTTAGGGGGCGGAACCTAGAACCTTGCAGTTTTTGAAACAAAAAAATCGTTTGCAAACGAGCCAAGCTCAAAGGTATATATATATCCATATTTATGATTGTCCCGACTGGGTTTTCGGGAAAATCCACCCGCATGTGTGGACAAATCGCGAACAACTTCGTCGAGGTCTTAAATCAATATTCATGAAACCTGACAAAGATACGACTTTCGACCGCCCGCTCAAATCGATTAACTATATCACATATAGATGTCATGGAAACTATAGAGTTTTCCAAGACTTCGGGCTCAAACTCATTAATCGGAATACTAACACCCCCTCGGACTCAGAGTATGAGCAGTATGCAGGTGATATGGCAACAGGTGTTCAGATGGAATACTTACCAGGCAGGGCAGATCGTTGCAGTTGTTGTTGGTGCCGCGCAGGCAACCGTTCTCGCCGTAGCCGTTGCCCACCATCCCGTGGGGACAGCTGCAGATGATCGTGTTTGAAATCTCCGAGCAGATGGCCGCCGGATGGCAGAGGGAGGCGCGCTGTGCGCAGCTGGTTAGGCCAACGGCACTCGGGCTGCCGTTGGGCGAGTCCCCGTTGCTGTTGCTGTTGCGCTGGCAGCTGCGTCCGTCGCCCGTCCAGCCGACGGGGCACTCGGCGCAGTGGCTGGAGCCGTAGCTGTTGATGCACTCCACCCGCGGGCTGAGGCTGCAGCCGCCGTTGTTGGTCTCGCATTCGTTAATGTCCCGGCAGCTGACGCCGTTGCCGGTCAGGCCCGGCGCACAGGGCGCACACGTGAAGCTGCCGGGCAAATTGATGCAATTGGTGGAGCAGGGCGTATGCGCGGCGGCCGTGCACTCGTCGACATCCTCGGTGCAGGTGGGCGTCAGTCCATTGCTGCGCCAGCCGGGCTCACAGATGCATCTATAGCCGAGCGCATCGCTGCTGGGCACACAGCTGCCATGTCCGCACAGCTCCCAGGTGCTCGCCGCGGCACAGTCCGTTTTCCGCTGGCTGCAGTGCATCCCGTGCCAGCCGGGCGCACACATGCACGAAAACGAGCCAAACTGATTCACGCACTGGCCCCCATTCTGGCAGCCCAGATCCGTGCCCTCCAGCAGCGCACACTCGTTCACATCCCGCTCGCATCTGCTGCCCTGTACGAAGCCAAAAACGGAGATCAGCATCTGCATCTGCCATTTAGACGCCGCCCCACAAAACACCCCATGCCTTACCTCAAAGGCAGCGCCGCACTGACAACGATACCCGTTGTAGGTGTTAAAGCAGGTGCCACCGTTCTCGCAGGGATTGCTGTGGCAGCTGTCCAGCTCCAACTTGGTCTTTAGCCGCTGCACCCTGTTCTCCACACCGCGGAGGCGTCCTTGCAGGCGTCGCAGCAGCAGTCGGCTGGCCCGTGTTCTGCACAAAAAATATCAATAAATTGCACATGTGTCCCACAAAAGCCTCACGCAGATCCCGTATACGTTATACGTACATCATCTGTACATCTTACGTTTCCCACTAACATCACACATAGATCGCACATATATCCCACACGCATCGCACATCCAATGTAAATTCAACGTACATCAAACATACCAGGTACATGTAACGTACATCCAAAGAACATTCATCCAACATCCAATATACGTTCTACGTACATCATCTGTACATCTTACGTATCCCACTAACATCACACATAGATCGCACATACATATATCCCACACACATCGCACATCCAATGTACATTCCACGTACATCAAACATAGCAGGTACATGTAACGTACATCCAAAGAACATTTATCCAACATCCAATATACGTTCCACGTAAATCATATGTACATCTTACGTATCCCACTAACATCACGCATAGATCGCACATATATCCCAGTGTACATCCCACGTACATCGAACATTCCACGTACATTAAGTGCATCCGCCCAACATCGCACGTACATCCCCCGTACATCCCCAGATGATTTCTGACAGACAGACTGACTCATTTGAAATGTGTATGCTAAAAATTATTTAAGATACTCTGTTCACGGTGTGGAAAAGAGTATATTTGTTTTGAGTGAACTTGGAATATTGATTTATATACCATTTTACGCGTGCTCGAAAATAAATGGACTAAATTATAGCAGAAAACCGGGAAACAAATCTTAAGGCAGGAAGCTGGTTCATGCCGGAAACCGAGTGGTTCACACCACTTGCCCGTATTGATCCCAACAACAATCAACTTTCTGTCTTGGCATTTTCATGGGTATTACGCAAACCTGTTCTGAATCTGACGAAACATCGTGTTTAACCCATTGGGGCCAAGTGCCTGGGCTCGGAACTCGGTCAGCTGATCGGCCAGGTCGCGCAGATCGACAATATCATCGGCGCCGCTCCACTCGTCCTTGGCGGAGCCCGTAGGTCGTTTCTTGTTGCCACTGATGGGCATCAGCAGCTCCAGCACATCGTATTCCTCATTGATGAGCAGCCGCGAGCTGCCGCTCAATCGGAAGCTGATGTTGCGATTGGCGCCAGACTCGAAAATCAGATTGCCATCCTTGCTGATGATCTTTGGCCTGCAAGTGGATGCCAGTTGAGACCGGTTTGTGAACCAGTAGCAGGCGCTACTTACGAGTTGACAAACATATGCACAGGGCACAGCAGGAGCAGCAGAAGAAGCAGCTCCAGCTGCATCTGGATGTGTCCTAGGCGTCTATACATGCTTCACGCAAACATTTGCACATATTATTCAGATCACAGAACAAAAATTAAAAATATATTTTAGATCCTGCGGCACGTTCACTTGGCTTGACTATGAATTAAACTCTGCCGATATCGGCGCTCGCTGCCCGCGACGTCAGCTGCGGGGCGTTTCTGTGCCGCGCTGCGGCATGCCGCATGCCGCATGGTGTACGCCCACCAATGATAGCCGGAAATTGACCCAGTAGTACGACAAGACGGATACCCTTTATTTTTCTTTTACTTAAAAGGTACACATTTATTTCAGAGCAGATTTCTCTAATAATATCTGGTATAGTAGCACATACACATTTATAAATATCTGCATATATATATATATTTATATATATATATATTGTTGGTTCATAGATGTATACACTATAATATAGGAGTTTAATGTATGGGTGCTTTGCTTATGCTTAGTTCAATTGTAAAATTATGGAGCTGAGTGTTTGGTTGCCATTCCCCCACGTACCTCATTCCGATCGACGCCTATCAATATGCTCTTTCCCAAATTATCTTAATCTTAGGTAAAACTAGCTAAAATTCCGTTATTTAAACGGATCTCAAGCTAAATGTTTATATAATACAACATTTATATCAGTTACTCTTCAGTTATTATTAAATCACATCAATTATTTAACAAATGATTAAAAGTATTTCAAAATTAATAGAAATTTGGTATTTATTTGATACAATTATTTTTTTTTCAAGTATTTCAAGTTGCGTATAAAAAAAAAGGAAATTATTTGTTGAGTATTTTTGTTTACTAAATTTGTCATTGGAAAGAGCATAGAAGTTTCGGTGTGTGTCGAAATTGTAGCATTTTATAAAACTTTTACAAATAAATTTCTAAACAACAGAACAGATTCTTCGTATATAAACGGGTGTGTGTGTGTGTGTACATACATGTGTGTGATTGTATGTGGTCACAACTGTTGCTCGTGTCTTTGGATGAATTAAGTACAGATAGACTCTATTATAAATCGGGTGCTGAGGACGCTACAAGTCGTGTCCGAAAGTCTATTTGGTGTTTACGTTTACAAATGCACAAGAAATATACTTGTTTATATATATATTTATTTATATATATATATATGTCTACGACAAACTAACTAACCAAGAATATGCCCAAAACAATATATACATGATCGGAACTCAAGAGCTGCATTGAAAAGGTAAAAACTGAAGTGAAGTTCCGATATTTGGTTGTCATTTACATATACATTGTGTTAAGATTTTGGCATTGGGTAATATTTAAGAAGCTACATTCACTGGATTAGCTGTAGACAGCTGAGTGTCCCAGTATAATCTCATATATATATATATAAAAGGTTAGAAGACCAAACTATTTTGTGAAATATGAGTGTGCACACTTGGCAACATAACATGTATACAGTGTATTGTTTGAATATATGTATATATATATATATATATGTATATATATATGTATAATTAGAATCACAATAATGAAATGACTTGCGTTAAGAGTTAAAGTACACATAAAGGTAACTATTTGAAGTTGTGTGCAGACAGGTCGATATAACTAAATATAATTATTATAAATTATATGCTTGCACATTTTCAATTTCTCAATTGGAAAGTTCTCAATTGGACCTGCCTGAATAACACTTCTTCCTTCTCCTCAAGCTATACAACTCTAATTACAGTAGGCAACAAACACGTACACAATAAATAAATTAATTATTAAAAATATATATAGTTTATAATTGAACTTTTTGCTTAGGTTGACTGTGCTACACATTTCTTCTCTATCTTGCTTACTATCCCTCTATCTCTCTCTCTCTCTCTCTCTCTCTGTCTCTATCTCTTTCTCTGTCGTGTTGCCTGTTGTCGGTTGCTTGCCTATGGCATAGCTCTGAATAAGTGTATAGAACCAGCTTTTTAAGTTGTATTGCAGCCTCCAAATGCATTGTTGCGGGTTCTTCAGTTTGCTGTGGGCGTGGCCTTGATTAAATTGGCCTTTGTCCGCCTTATGTGCTCCGACTTGTGATAGAGAAACTTATAGCTAGGGTGCTTCTCCGTGTACTGCGCAAACATATCTAGACAATATATACAAAATGAATTTTAAAAAAATCGTTAAAGCTAAATGGAAGGCCAAGACTAACCGAAGGAGACGTGGCCAACATTGGCGGTGTCCAGCGCAAAGAAAAGTGCCTGAGCCTTTTTCTCGTTCAGCTTATCGCCGCCGTGCCGCAACAAACGCGTGAAGCTCTCCCTGTCTATCTGTTGGCTCGATTCACTATACAGCTATAATAGAAAATACAGCAGGATTATAAAGTAATAAAAGGATTATAAAGCAGACTTACTTTAATCAGAGCGCGCAGAAACGTGATAATGTCGCTGTTCTTCAATTTGCAAAACAGCGAGCAGAGCAGAAAACTTTTCAGACTCACTGTCCCCTTGCGACGCTATATTCAAATACAAAGGATAAGAGCAAATGGTTTTTATCGCACACACATCAAATTATATGGTCATAAGCGCTTACATGATCGAGTAGCGCGAAAAGCTTGTGCAGATTGGGATTCTTGAGATCCACTTGGAGGAGCTCGGCAAATGTGATAATGTCCAGTTTGTCTGTGTTGGCAAGCTTTAGATACATCTCGCAGAGTTCCATGTCGCGCTGCGAATCCAAGAGGTCAAGAATATCAAGGGTGCGCTCAATTTCCACAATGTCGCCAGGAAATGGAATTTTCATTTCACGAGCACGACTCATAACGATGACATCCTCAAATGAGTAGTCGGACGTGGGCACACCCAATGCCCTACAAGGTATAACAATGATTGAATTAGCACGAATGATCAATCTAACTGCTTGCCAGCAATCGGACAGAACTCACTTGGCCATTACTTCTCGTACATTGTTCGCATAGAGATTGGCATCGGCCACCTCAGCTGGGGATGGCGTGTAAACGGGAAGGTATTCGATCTCACAGCGATTATAAAACTGTGTCATTGTTAGCCAAAGCAGACGCAGGCTGTGCACAAAGCAAGAACGAAACGTTAGCAGAAGCTCGAAAGTATGCTGCTGTTATCAACACTTACACGCCCGGCCCATCCCAGGTCCAGGTGAAGGTGTCATACTTGTTGGGATAGCGGAGCAGAACTGGTTGTACGGGCACGCCCGGATAGAAGGCGCCGGGCTTAAATTTTATAAGTGCCGTGCGATTTGTGCATGTGCCCTCGGAAAAAATGACCACCTGAGGCCAGTCATCGCTGGAACGCGCACGATCAACAATATGACGTATGGTGTTCTGCCTAGAGTTGGGATCCTCGCGCTGCACATAAATGGGCTGGGCATAATTTATGATGCGGCCCAGCAGCGGTATATCTGCCGTCTCGCGCTTGGCCACGATCGACGGTGGGTGCCCGGAGACCACCAAAATGGAATCAACGTACGAAGAGTGTGGCGCCACAACCAAAATGGGCGCCTCCTTGGCGCTGGCCGGTGTGCCCTTCATTTCGATATAGAGAAACGAGCCGGATGTGTACACCATTCGCATGGCACGCGCCGTCCAGTACTGCATGTGCCTGCAAGTGACATTAAATGTTCAATCTGTGTGTGAATGTGCATATCGGTCGGGTCTTACCTGCGCCAGCCAGTGAGCGGCTTTGCCTGCAGCTCCTCCATAGAGATGCCATAGAGGCCAATGCAGGCGAACATCCAGGCCGATAACAGCGACAAGATGCAGCCCACCACGCGTATGGGAAGCAGCAGCACGGTCAACACATAGATCTGGAATTGATAACAGTAATCAGAGCGTTTCCAAACAACGTTCGCTTTCCGCTCGCTTATCGGGCCGCATAGCGTAACAAAGTACACTAAGGTTGGGCAATATTTGCTGAACTTTGAAATGGCCAGCCAGCCAATGTATACAAAATGGAACTCAAACAATCTTAAATGAAATTAAATGGATTTTTGCCACTTTGTGACGTGTACGCTAAAGTTCAATATTCGGTTATGTTAACACTCAAATCAGTTCGGGTTCCGGATTTTCAATACTTCCAAATCGACCAGGCTAAATGCATGGCTTATGCTTCCGTCAATAAGCGAGCAATTCGGTTCAATTTGTTTCAATTTGGAATTTGCTTTGATGAAATAATCAAAGTTTTTCAAATCTCAACAGTTCTTTCATTTATTGCCAATCTTTTGATTGAGTAAGATGTTCTAGTCGGGAGCTCCCGACTAGGGGATACCCTGAACCCTCTTCTTCTTCACCAAATGCAAATATATATGCTATTCTAGAAGCTACATGTCATGTTTGGTGACTCTAGCTCTTAATATTTGCCAAAATTGCTCAAAAAACAGGATATCGATATTGATTTTTATCGATTACTTGGAAACGAGGCAAGTTATCGAATATCGGAAACAAACCCGGTCTGCGCGGGCACTAACAGGACTGATATCCTTGCGTTCATACAGACGAACGGACGGACATGGCTAGATCGACTCGACTGTTGATGCTGATCAAGAATAAATATACTTTAAGGGGTCGCAGATGCTTCCTGCTGCCTGTTACATATATTTGCACAAATACATAATACCCTTTTACCCATTTTTAATGAGTTCAGGGTATAACAATAATATCAAGTTTCAGTTCGTATTCATAGTTTTATTTGATTGGAACGTTAAGACGAGCGGAAATGAAAAATGCCTTGGGAAATAGTTAAAGCTATTTCCGTGTTTTTTTTTTTGTTGTGCGAGAACTACTCAAAAATGTTCAAGTGCATTTTTGAATTCGCAAAACTTGAACGTATTGCTGAGAATTAAAGATCGTGCCAGGTAAAGGGTATATATAATTGCAGATAAAATTCGAATCGCAAAAGGATAACTGGCAATCATTTCTGAAACAAAAACAATTGCAAAGTGGTTGTTTTTTGGTCTGTTTAGGGTCGCGAATGCCTGCCAAGATAGAGATACTTCAAGTCGGCAACTTGCCCAAATTAATGCCAATACATAAGCACAGGTGTGTGTGTGTGTGTGTGTGTGTATGTAATTCTGCAGGTGTCTGCGAGTGAGTGTATAAATAAGCATGTCATTAACAGACCACGACTCGAATAGTGCGAATAGTGCGAATGATGGCCCCTCGACCTTGATTTAACGATCAAGGCAAGTGGAACGAACGAGCTCTACTAACTTGTTTCTACGGCAGATGAGTTTGATGCGCCAGTATGCAAACGTATTTACGTATATGCATATTTATCTCTTGAATGTATGGCATATCCGTGGGTCAGTTTAGATGCCTGCGAGGTCACTTTGGTGCATACTATCCTTGTCTACTGAACTATGTCTGTGTCATACTAAATACTTGCTCAACGCATATGCACTTTGGACTGTGACATATTCAGCGATAAGCGTTGCGATCGGGTTTGTTGATATACATATGTACATGCATACGTACATATATATGACACTATGTACACTTTATATGCATATTGTTTCAAATAAACAGTGCTCATTGTGAACTTGAACTTCAATTAGGGGTTTACGGTAGTTTATTCTTTTGAAAATCACAGTGAAAGAAATCACTTTCTAAATTACAATTGCCCGTTGTACCGAAAGTATTGCGCACCTTAGATATTTTCGCCTACAAGAAGCGGGCTATAGCTGGGGTTTTGACAATGCAAAGTTCTTTAAACTTTCTCTCAAAAATGTTTCATTTTGAGTCAGAAATTGGGTTATAGAAAATAATGTGAGCCAAAGTTCGAACTGGTTCGGTTCAAAGTCGTTTTGAAGCCTTGAAATAGTCAAAAAGTATCTATAACAAATATATCATTAAGTCTCGGCTTTCAAAATATCGCAACGATCATATGTTTAATCATGTTGAGCCAATCATAAGCCAGCGAAGCATATTATTAATTCACAATAGTGATTTCATCTGTGACTAATGTGAATCCCCCGTGTCTCTTGTGCAAGCTGAACGGTAAACGGGGTATTCTTTTGTTGTTGTTGCAACTAGAGATAATAGAGTGGAAAGTGGGGGGAGGGGCGGGTGTGGGGGCGTGTAATTAGTCAGACGATTACAATTATAGGGAAACGGGAAACGGGAAACGTGCGAAAAACGTTTTCGTCTATTCAAATCTGAGAGTGGAGGCCAAATAAAATGCAAATCAGTTTACGCTTACAAACTACAATCTATTAATATATATAAAGACCGATTGATTGATTGATTGACTGACTGCCTGATTGGTAATCGAGCCGGCTTTTTAATTATTTACAAATACGTGTTTCTGCGTTGTAAGATAATCGCCATTTTATGGGCTTGTTTTTCTTTTCTCGTTGCTTCAAACTGATTTTCAAAGCAACTCATTTAAAATTGATGAGCACGTGTTCGATAAAAAATGATAAGCTACAACTTTTGGACGAGCTTTTGCTTGCGAAAAATAAACATGAACAGAACTGTTTTTTTACTTCCGGTCAGATGCCAGCCAAAAATAATAGACACGTGAATCCATCCGTTTGTGATACCTATCGGGAAAACGAGACACGTACCCATCTCTAATCGGGCAGAAGCACAAGGTGTGCTTTGGCCACGAACAACAACATCAAGTAACGGCTACGACGAACGACCCAAAGAACCGGCAACGAAAGCAAAGCTAACAACAACAAGAAGAAGAAGAACAACAACAACAACGGCAGCAGCAAAAAGACGACAACAAGAAAATCGTACGATTTTCGCTGCTTTTGTTTCTTCACAGCTAATTCGCTGCGGCGCTTTCGGCGCTGACGTAAACAGCGACGCTGGCGCCGGCATCGCGAAACTATGGCCCCGTACAAAGGAATATCGATAATGCAAAACGTGCTGTTATCGACATCCTCGATGGCTCAAGTGCAATGAGGCATACATATGCAAATGTAAGTGTGTATGTGTATGTGTATGTTATATGTGTGCATATAGAGCGTTGCACTTAAAATGTCTGCAGGTGTGTGTGTGTCTCTAGACAAAGACAACAACAATAATAGAAGCAATATCAATAGCTATGCTCAGAACGAGCATTGGTTTTGCGCCCCTCCAACTGCCCCTCTTGAATGCATTCTTCCACGGCCCACGCAGCGAGACGTCAGCTGTGTTTGAGCTGTTTTGCATGAATGAACGCGAAGGCGAAGGCGACGGCGAAGGCATTGGCATCTGGGTGCGGATGCGGGAAAACGGGTAAACCAAAAAGCTCACCTTGGCCACCTCAATGTGACTGTCGATTTCTATGCGATGCACGAACGGATTGATGTAGCTGTAACCCTTTGAGGCCCAGGTGTCCTCCTCGGAGTCGCGCTTGGACATGTTGCTGCTGATGCTGATGCTATTGTTGGGCAATGCGCTGCTGCTGCTGCCGCTGCCACTGCCACTGCTGCTTCTGCTTCTGCTACTTCGAGTGCTGCTGTTGTTGTCGTTGTCATTTTCCAGGCCATCCCCATCGTTCGATGCGCGTGCATCGTGCGGAGAGCGACGTCGTTTAATTGAGGAAGTTGTCATTGTTCACACGTACATTCACTTGCTAATAACACTTGCAAAATATTATTGTCCAACTTTTCTTAGGCTGGTGTCTTTGGTGTGTGGCGCAAAAAAAAAAAACAACAACCAGTACGTCCCGCTCTACCGATTCTTTTTTGCGTTGCCAGCAAACTGAAGTGCTGGCTAACTAGCTAAACAGTGTTGGACAAGTAATTATATCGATGTTATAGCTATCGTCGATAGCTCGATAGTTATTGTTAGCATGCTGCCACACTGCGCCGGCTGAACAAATTAAACAAGTCTGGCAGCATTAAAGTCGTTGCTACATTTAAAATTTGATTTGATTTTAAAATTCACAATGGAAATGAATGAAATGCTCTAAATTTAATTATTGTCTTCAGCTCAAGAACACATGTAGGTGTGAGGGCCATGCATATATGTTCTCGGAGGCTGTGTTTCCCGTGTAGTGCCCTCCGCGGCATTTTAATCACATGTCTGACCCCGCAGTTCACGGTCTTGCCAAGCCTGGCGACTAAGTCGACGCACATTTGCCCGAAACGTGCTGTCGAAATGAAATCTTTTCAAGGCGGCTGCCATGCGGTCGGAATACTCTGATTATGTGTGGCATATAATTATGTATAAGTACATACATATGTATGTACATACATATGTGCATTTGAACAAGGCATGTTTTAAGTGCTGGCTGCTTTTCAAAAAATGTGAACCAACCAGTTTCTGTTATACATACATATGTATGTACATATGTATGAATGTGGTTCATAGAGACATATCAGAGATATCGCATGCTAAACGGGTTTCCTCTCTTTCTGTTTTTAGATTAATATTCACGCTATTATTTGATGGTGGCTTTGTGGGCTGAAGGGCACAGCTGGTGCCTCATCGCAAAACTGTTACTGTTATACGCGCGCGTGCATTTGACCTTGCTGAAGTTTAAAGGCTGATGCAATCGGAGTTTGGGGCGATACGCCGACAAATTCTTATGCATACATACATATGTATGTATGTACATACATGTGCTGACATGTTAGCGCAAGTGCTCGGCAACTGGTTTTGCCAAAATGATGAGTAACTTACCGTAATACTAATCAGTCAAAACAACATGGCCACGCCCATTTATCATTTTAATCAGAAATTGGCGAAATTCGCATTCAAGGCCGTATTTACCGTTTTGCACGGTCCATGGAACTGTATTATGTGTATACATTGTACATACATACACACATATGTACATATGTATGTATTTCTAACATTTCTGTTAGTTCGTTGTTCGGTGCTTTTTTTTTTTTATTTGTTAATGATTATTATTGTGGCCTGGCAGTGTTTTTTATTTTAGCCATTTTTTGCAGCCCGACGCTGGCTGCGTGGGCGACAGCCGCAGCAGCGTCACGTGAAATGATTTCAAGTTGCCAAAAATCTGAATTTTATAATTAATGTCTTTTGCGTTGAGATCGAAGGCCTTTTGGCCAAAGTGCCAACTGGCGTATACGCAACGTTCAAAAAATTCCGTTAGCTGCCGCTGCATTGACCCCTGGATTGTGCGAGCTGCTTTGCGAGTTTCACAAAACTCGGCACTTTCGACGTCATCATCATTGACGTCACAGAAGGCTCCGCGCGTGGCCCCAAATCACAAAAAAAAAACAATTGTAATAAGAGAGCGCGCACGATACAAAAATCAATTATTCTGTATGTACACCACTCACACACACACACAAAGAGTCACACACACAAGCAAGCATGCGTCGGCGATGAGCAAGCGCAAAGCAGCGCAACCAACCTCTACACAAACACATGCACAAATGCGTGTATGTAGCTACATGTATGTATGTATGTACATATATGTATGTGTGTATATAACGGGGCGAGCCCCCAAATCTGGATTCCCAAATGCGGACAACAAATAACTATACGCGTAGCAGTGCGGCCCCGCTGCTGCAGCGCGTTGTAAGCTGACGTCGCAATATTGAAATCAGCAAGGAAAAAAGGCTAATTTTAGACTTCTACGTTGGATTTAAATTTGTTCGCGGAACTCTCGATTTTTTGTGCAGCGTTCACATTCAAGCCTTTGCTTTAGGCCATGCATTCAATATCCACTCGACTCTCGAACTGGTTTTCTGAACAGAAACAGGGTTTTGTCACATTTTGAAATAACCGTTAAAGCTGCATTTCTGCACCAACTTGCACTGAAGAGCGTCGCAGTCGCTGCTCTCTTCTCTTAGATCGGAATCTAAAACGCTGAATCATTGTGCATAGGCACACACATTATGGCGCGGGGGTGTATCTGCTTCACACATGCATGCATACAAATAACTGATTAGAATGCTTGACATATGTGTATGTGCACACATATACATATGCGTTTGAATGTATTTACATGGCGCTATCATCTCGTGCACAAAGAAATTAAGTTATTATTTGACCCTACTTGCCCTATGTTGGCAAACGTAGGCATGCCCAGCCCCTGTATAGTCGGAGACGACGCCCACTAATATTAAGGCGAAATGAAATGTTTTTCATTTTTTTCAAAGCAATTTCCGTTAGCCAGATAAGAGCAAACCAGTTGTATTTGTATTTGAAAAGATAAACATTTCAGCAATTTAGCTAGTTGGTTCGCAGAAGCAACAGAAGAATTACATAGTATATAGAGCTCTTAGTTATCTTTATCGTGGCAATGGTTAAGCTGCTAGCTCTAAAAATAAATTTTTCCATTCTCTTGTATTTCCAAGCCTTATAATTAACAAATCCTAAGTGATATAGTGATAAGGTTTTTTCTTGTTCTTCTTCTGTTTGATCCTATCATAACATAGGCACATGCATATGCATGTGTGTGTAGGTATCTATGCATATATACAAATATTCACATGCGTGCATACATATGTACATGTATACATGTGTGTGCATGTGCAATTTCGCATGCAGCACATTCGAGCTCAGAGGGCGTGGCGCACATGATCACAAGGCGGTCGCGTCATTGCTGTTGCTGCATCCCATGACAGAGAAAATGGCGAAATATTGGCAGCGTCAGATGCAATAGCAAAAATCAACTGAGGGCAGACGAGCCTCTTTGGACAACAACAACAACAACAACAGCAGCACTAACACACAGTCATGCATATTTGTATGCATGTACAATTCATACATATGTATGTATGTACACACGTGTACATGTGTGCATGTGTTTTAGCTAAGTACAAATGTGTCATACACGAGTCTTTGAAATCAAAGAGCAACAAACCAATAATAAGTATAATGAGTATAAAAACTTCCTTAGAACTGGGTGAGTGAACGAACGACCGCGTCAAGTGAGCGTCGTGAGGTTCGCGCGTGTGGTGAGTAATATGTACATATGTTTGATGAGAACGGAAGCCAGGGAGAGAAGCGTTGGCTGGAGTTGCAAATACAAACACATAGTCAGTCGGTCAGGCGATGCGTTCAACTGTTGTTGAAACGCGCACGTCGACGACGGCACGTAAAATACTCCCAGATGTGTATATGTATATGTGTACGTATATGTGTATATGTATATGCAGTGGCGGGTGAGACTAACACCAGCAGCAAAATGCGAGACGAGCCCCACGAACGCCTAAAGCAGGCAGCGAACATCAACAACAAATTCCATACCGAACATTAACTTTACTACTCACGTATGCATGTATGTATGCACATATACACACAAAGAGAGCCTGGTGTGGACGGCAGCGACAGCTATGCAAACTTGTTCCCCATATGTAAGCTGAGCATAAACTGTTATACACCAACAGCAGTAGCAGAAAACCCAACTGAAAATATCCACAGTCACAGAAAAAGCAACCGGTCTATAGCGACATTTGAATAACCTGCATTGTAAGCAATTGCTTAAATTGTTCTCCCTTGTTTACAGTTGTTGCGGAATGTGTTATACGTACATACATATTTATGTATGTACATATGTGCATATGCAGCTGTTTAAATAGCAATTCCAAAATAGGAATATCTATAGGGCAGGCCGCTTATATTTAATGCTTAAAGTATTTGTAGGTTACCTAAAAAGCCGCTTGTGTAGTGTGCATTGGCTTGCTGACGATGGCAAAAAGGCAGTGGCAACACTCAGCACTCAACGCACACCTGACCGCTCTCTCGTCTCACCGTCTCCCGCTCTTAGGCACTGTTGGCCTGTGAGAGCAGTTGTGACGCTGCTGCTTCTGCCCGCGTCGCTACCCGCCCCTACCACGTACAACAGTCATTCATGAGCCGCGTAATCACTACATGTGCTCTCTCGCTCTCTATTCGTATGCGATTGACGCTAACTCTCGCGCTGGCTCTCTGGCTCTCTTTCGATATGCACACTTATGTACATGATATTGTATCTTGAACGCAGGCCCAGCACAGAAACGGCCGCCCGCTCCAATACGATTTTTCAATTTTGACCTTCAAGGTTCCTTCAAAGTACACTACGTACACACGACACACACACGCACACAAGCAAACAACGCACAGAGACGCTGACGCTGACGTTGACGGCGGCAGCGCGCGCTCCGCGTCAGCAGCGCGCCAGAGTCAAGCAACTGGCGAAGCTCCACGGAGAATAATTCCGTAACAAACGTTTCACAGCAGCGGACGCGTGCAGCGGACAAAAATAAAACGGCCGAGACAAAAGCAAATGGTATATGAGAAAAGAAGCAGCGCAAACTCAACTAAAAGCGAAAATCGGCAAAAATAATAATAAAAAAAAAAAAAAAAACAAAAAACAAAGCAAACAAAGGTAAAAGACAATAAAAACGCACAAAACTAACAAACGAGGCGGCAAAAGACAACAACAACAAAAAAAAAAAAACGCGAGCGAAACGCGCGTGAGGAAAAATAAAACAAGTTGCTGTAACAAATTATATATATATATATATTTTTTTTGGGTGCCAGTGCCTGTGACTCTGCCTGTCGGCGACTGCCAGACTAAAGAAACTGCAACTGCAACGAAATGGACCAAGAGCACCTGAATGGCGCGATGCGCAGCGTTTCTATAAATAGCAATGGACTAGCCACAAATCAGAATGGCCACAACGGCAACGACGAGACGGACAATGCGCGAGTTCTCGGCGGCGGCGGCTTTAGCCTGAGCAGCGGCAGCAAAGCGACAAATGCGGCGACAAATGCGGCGACAAATGCGGCGACAGATGCAGCGACAGCGAATGTGAATGTGAATGCAATTCAAATACAAACATCGGCAGCTGGTGCGAGTGCAGCGGATAAAAAGAAAATGGTGCACGAGTTATGTCAGCAGCTGTTGCTAACCGATGAGCAGGTGCAGGAGCTGTGCTATCGCATTTTGCACGAGGTGAGGCGCGGCCTGGCCAAGGATACGCATCCGAAGGCGAATGTCAAATGCTTCGTTACGTACGTACAGGATCTGCCCAATGGCAATGAGCGCGGCAAGTTCCTGGCCCTAGATTTGGGCGGCACCAATTTTCGTGTGCTGCTCATCCACCTGCAGGAGAACAATGACTTCCAAATGGAGTCGCGCATCTATGCGATACCGCAGCACATCATGATCGGATCGGGACTGCAGCTGTTCGATCATATTGCCGAATGTCTGTCCAATTTTATGGCCGAGCATAATGTGTATTCGGAGCGTTTGCCGCTCGGCTTTACGTTCTCGTTTCCGTTGCGCCAGCTGGGCCTGACCAAGGGCCTGCTCGAGACATGGACGAAGGGCTTCGATTGTGCCGGCGTTGTCAACGAGGATGTTGTCCAGCTGCTCAAGGATGCGATCGCACGGCGCGGCGATGTACAGATCGATGTCTGTGCCATACTCAACGATACGACGGGCACCCTGATGAGCTGCGCCTGGAAGAATCACAATTGCAAGATCGGTTTGATTGTTGGCACCGGCTCGAATGCCTGCTATGTGGAGAAGGTGGACGAGGCCGAGCTCTTTGATATGCGCGATAATCGCAAGCCGCACGTCCTTATCAACACGGAATGGGGGGCATTCGGTGATAACGGTGCACTCGATTTTGTGCGCACCGAATTCGACAAGGACATCGATAGCCACAGCATCAATCCCGGCAAGCAGACGTTCGAGAAAATGATCTCGGGCATGTATATGGGCGAGCTGGTGCGCCTCGTCCTGGCCAAGATGACCCAGGCGGGCATACTGTTCAATGGCCAGGGCTCGGAGGTGCTGTTCACGCGCGGACTCTTCTTCACCAAATACGTGAGCGAGATCGAGGCCGATGAGCCCGGCACATTCACCAATTGCCGCCTCGTACTGGAGGAGCTGGGCCTATCCAATGCCACCGACGGCGATTGCGCCAATGTGCGCTACATCTGCGAGTGCGTCTCGAAGCGGGCCGCACATCTCGTCTCGGCGGGCATTGCCACGCTGATCAACAAGATGGATGAGCCGCATGTGACGGTCGGCGTCGATGGCAGCGTCTATCGTTTCCATCCCAAGTTCCATAATCTGATGGTCGAGAAGATAACGCAGCTGATCAAGCCCGGCATCAGCTTTGATCTGATGCTCTCCGAGGATGGGTCCGGGCGAGGCGCGGCGCTCGTTGCGGCCGTTGCCTGTCGAGAGGATATACTCAATAGCAAGTAAACGATTGGCAAGCCCAAAAGCAATCGCAATCGTAATTGTAATTGTAATTGTAATCGTTATCGTTATCGTTATCGTAATCGGAATCGTAATCGGAATCGGAATCAGCGTCGCAGTTGCTATCGAAGCAAACCCAATCAATTCAATTCGAATTCAAACCGGGTTCGAATTCGAAAATTCTTAAGGCGAAAATCAGTTAGTTTCCTTTTGTCGCCGCTGCGAGGGCGCCACCACCTCACCTCCCCCCTTCCGCCCTTCCCCCCACCAGGTAGCGCCAACGCGGGGCGCTTCTTAGTATTTAAATTAGGCAACATCTTAGAAAAAAGTTGAGAAAAAAAAAACAAATAATAATGGAATGTGTATGCTTCAGCAATTGTTACTTTTCTTTTCATTTACTTTCTTTTCCTTTCACTTGTTCGCTTATAATCTATCTCTTTCTATCTATCTTTTAATTAAATAAATTATTTGTATGTCTAATTTATTTGGTTAAATTATCTATTCTCGATTTTGTAAAAAAACAAAACAATTGTTAATATATTTTACACACACACACACACACACATATATATATACACTTATACGCATGTTGATACATATAAGATATATGATTTAATATATCAGGCAATTTCTTATTAAAACGGCAAACAAGTTAAATGAATTTTTCGATTGCGATTTGTCAAAATCCACATAATTTAAGCGCTTAAGAGAAACGAATAAGCTGAACAAAAGAGAATCAAGAGAACTGGTAAATTCGTGTAGCGCGCTTTCATGCGCCGCCAAAAGTGTTATACTGTGCTACAAGCATCATCAGCATATCCGAAGCCAGGACAAGACAAATTCGAAACCGCAAAATCGCACATTGTTAATGAAAATACTAAAAAGAAAAAAAAGAAGAAAAAGAAATGCAAAAAATGCTAAAACACAGAAAGGCATGTGTTTTGTAATTGTAAAATGTTTATAGCATATATTATGAAGCGTTATATGATAATACAGCTTATTAGCCTCTATGTTGATTATAATGATGTATTCTTTGCTTTCTTTAGATATATATATATATATACATATGTTTTTTTTTTTTTTTTTGTTATTAAATTTTAAGCAGCTAAACAATTGTTTTATATTGTTTCAATATGCAAACATGTGCATACATACATACATACATGCATGCATGCATGCATGCATGCGTATAGTGTGCATGCATGCATGCGTACAGTATGTGTGTGTATATATGTGTGCAGATGCGAGCTATATGCCTAGTTTAGTGCTTAATTATTATGTAGTTTTAACTGTTATTCACGAAGAGAACAGGTCCCCCATAAAGAGTCCTATATATACAAGACAACCTTACATGTGTGTACGAAAAGAGAATGAAAACGACACAAAAAAAAAAAAAAAACAAGAAATGGAACACAAATAAAATATGAACACATTTGATCATTTTCCTGCTAGCTGCAAGCGTAATTTTCTTTTCGTTTGATTTTTCGGTTATTTCTCCACATTCTGTTTTTTTGGTATTTTAAGGCGTGTTTTTGGCAACTGCGCGCAGGCGACGCATGTTGTTGCATGTTGAAAAAAAAAAGAAAAAAAAACAATATATATTTCAAAAAAGAAAGAAAAATCAAAGAATATAACCAAATTTTTTTGCCATGTATTTTTAATAAATCTAGCCAAGCACAGTTTGTTGGGAAAAAGGAATCCAAAACGACAAACTAAGAAACAAATACTAAAAAGTGTTACTATTTTTCATAAAAATAAAGCTAAAGACAAAACTAAGCCATGACAAATTCAAAATCAAGAAAAAACCGACAGAAACCTAATCCAAAATGCGGCGCAGTTCAGGCTAAAACTGTAGCTGTATCGAGGTGTATGTTAAGCTACACACACACACACACACACAAAGCCGAGAAGTAAGAACAGCTGATTAAAGAACCGAACAAACAATATGAAATGATTTCGAAACAAAACACAATAAAAACGATTCAAAGAAAAAGCTGAGAAACAAACAAACGAAAACATTTGTGTCTTTTTCGCAGACCTGCTCGATGACATGTCTTGCACAGCGTCAGCATAGGTTTGTCACGCAGTCAGCCCCTTGTCGAGGACACGTCCTGCAGGCGGTCTACAACGACAACTAGGCGACAATGTCACGTGAAGATCACATGATGCAACCCTGTATAACAGTTATGTAAGTCCCATTGGCCGCTTTTGTGAATCAAATTGCCCAGAACTGAATTTCTATAGAGGCCATTGTCAATTGATGAGCTTCGTCGCGTCACGTCTCGCCTCGTTCCGCTTCATCGATTCCAATTGACAGGAATATATAGAGAATTAAACACCATCAATGTCGGCTAAGTCGCAAGACGAGTCTGGCCCAAATTAAGTTGCGAATGAAAATAATTGAATTCGTAGCGTTTGACGCATTTGAATTGCAGCCAGTTAAAGCTCGATCGAATCGACATTCCGGCGGAGTCTTTCGGGGGGCGGCGACGCTCAACAAGTTCCGGACGTAAGCCAGCACACCCCCCGCCCCCCTTTCCTGCATCCTCCACCCTCCAGCCTCACGGTCTGTGTTCAAACCAAGAACATTTATTACGAGACGCTGTTCAAATAGATTGATTTATTGTTGTTTGATTTCTTGATTTCTTGATATCTGTTGCGTTCATACCCTTACAGAGCGGAGTGCACTCCACTTTGTCATGGACTGTGCAACGCATAGAAGAATAACTTATAGAGTACATATATCAATTGCTGATCAGTCGAGTCGCGTCATATCTCTCAGTTGTCAGAGTTATAGTTATATGTCAAGATGTGTATCTCAATATATGTTGGATATCTTCAAGCTCAACATTTACGTGCTTCATTCTTCATTCCTCTTGCAACAGATCGTACTGCATGGCATAGATCCAATTGGGATTATGTCCATGTGTCGGCAAGGGTATTTCAAGTGCGGCGCATTTTTCAGTTTTCTAATGAAAATGTTTGGGGTTTCATTCGGGCTGAGTTGGGAACTTTCGCAAGTTGCGCGAAAGTTGTTTTTTAGAATTGCCAGCCACATGTAAATTCCCCTGACCCAGACTGACAGACCCAATCCCCAGTTCTAATATATATTTACACCACACACACACACACACACACATATGTATGTGTATCGCAGTGTATAGAATGCATTGCCCAGCTCACGTTTCAAAGGCCTGGCGAATCATTTAAATATAACGCAATAAAAATTCAAATGCAAATTTGAATGCGACGACTTCCACTTGGATGTGCCTCGATGTTGAGGCACGGCTAGCTTTGCTTGGGGCGAAACTTGTGACCCGTTCACAGTTTATTGGGCACTTTTTATTCTCTCCTATTATTTATTTTATTCTATTTGATTCTATTGTTTTCTTGCAGCCTAACAGCTAAATAGCCAGACAGATAGATCATAGCCAGATTGACGCCAGAGTTACGAACTAGGTAAAAGTCAATGTGAAATACGCGGCGTATACTTGATGTCGAAAGCAGATACCGACAATGGCTTTTGGGGAATTAGCCATTAAAACGCGTTATCAGATTCACTTTGTGTTAAGACTCTGCTCGATGGACTTTACTCAGTTCGAGTGGTCTGCTCACGAATGCTCGACTAGCAGATGCCCTGTACGAAACACCCCAACGGATGGCGGTACATCAGATAATTTAGCTAGATAAAAGTTGGGCAGTTCGAGAAGAATGCTCGACTAGCTGATGCCCTGTAGCCATGTGTCAAGCACCTTTAAGACACTCAAAAAAAAACAAACACAAATAATAATAATAATAATACAAATAATAATAATAATACAAATAATAATAATAATACAAATAATAATAATAATAATAATAATAATAATAATAATAATAATAATAATAATACTAATACTAATACTAATACTAATACTAATACTAATACTAATTCTAATACTAATACTAATACTAATACTAATATTAATACTAATTCTAATTCTAATACTAACACTAATACTAATACTAATACTAATACTTATACTAATAATAATAATAATAAAAAATAATAATAATAATAATAATAATAATAATAATAATAATAAAAATAATAATGATAATGATTATAATTATAATAATAATCTATTGCAAAATTGACCCCTGCAAGAATGGAATTCGATATGTGTACACGGTATTAAAACATGCTCAAATACATCCCTATATCGATCCGAATTTCTGCCCGAACATAAATATGCATGCTCGCATATATATCAATATGTATATATGTATATATGTACACAATCCATCTCGAGAGCATATGTATATGTATTTACACATGTGTATGTATGTATATGTGTGTGTGTATAATCCTTGTCTGATCGCCTGCGTCAGTCCCCGGACAGTCCGAAGAAACTATTTATCAGCAAATACTTTGACATTTTTCGTTTCATTTTTTTTTATTTTTTTTTTTGGTTTTTTGTTATGTGGCGATCTTGAGTTAATTTAGCGTCAATTTAGCAAATATGCTTTGTGTTTGTTTCGCACTTTGTTTTTGTGCGGCAATAAAAAGAAAGAAAGAAAAAAAATGTAAAAATAAATATCTAAATTTAAAGAGCAGTATAGTTATATTTCTTGGGCATTTTCTTATTTTTACTGAGCATAGAATGAAAACAAAATACGCAATTAAAAATCGCTCGAGAAGAGCGGATGCCACAGCACAGCAGAGAGACAGAGACAGAGAGAGAGAGAGGGAGAGTTAGAGAAAGGGAGAGTGGAAATTGCAGATGCGAGTGGGTTTGCAAAGGGCGACAAAGCGACAGGCACGCCCACTCACAGTAATTATGGGCGAATACCCTATAATTAATATATATTTGGTCGGGTATTGACACAAAGCTGATTACAGGGTATTTGATTATCGCGTTTTTCTGCAGATTTATCGAAAGTTTTAGACCTGTTCTAGGTTTTAACCAAAACTGAACTGGGTTTTCGTACATAACATTACGTATACGTACTTTTTCCAGTGCACACAACTCACATACATACATATGTACATACATATGTAAATGTTGTTGCTGTTTCATATTGCAGAGTTGGCAACTCTGTCAGACAACGGCTGTAGTTGGCAATTCGCACTGGTCTCTTGTTTGCTTTGGCGCGCATTCTCTCCCGTTCTTTCGCTCTCTGTTTATCTTCCCTTTCGTGCTGGTTATGCAAATGCCAAATGCAGCTTTTGAAAGTGTGAAAACGTAAACGAATACGAATCATGTGAGTGCCAGCCATAACGAAAACATTGCACTTAATCATATGGAAAAGTGTGCGCCAGCGATTGTTGTTGTCGTCGTCGTCGTCGTCGTCGTCGTCGTCG